TGGACATCAACGTGAAGCATCAGTGGAAGTACCGAGAGACACAAACGCTCAACAAAACCATTTCCTCCTTGTGCGATAGCGGTGCGGCGTTATAACGGTCATACTTGGCTTCACGGAGCAACAACAGAGGATTTCGAAGAGGACCCATGGATGACCGTCGTCCCATATATGAATCGACATTTTAACCAATGGAGCGATAGTAATTGGAACGCGATGGAGAGTGTCTGCCCTTGGGCAAACCATTACAAGTTTGCAAATATGTTGGAGTTCGGGAGTCTCATTCTAGTGTCGGATCGTGTTCTCAAGCCTGTTTTCCTCACCCGTTTGCGTAAAGCATACCGCAACATTGACCGCTGTACCACTCGCCTCGACTTCGAGTACATCACGAGTTCGCCACGAACTTGGAGGACTTCATTGAAACAAGAGCTAATAGACAGAGCTAATCATTGTTCATTCTTGGAGCAGTACCCGTTGCGTTGCCCTGTGTCATACTGTTGCGTGCGATTGAGTCTTACCGGATATGAATTCGCAAGAGTGCTATGTGTCGCTTCTTCAAACAAATCTAGGAAACTCGTAGATGCAGTTGTGTGTGTATCACGGAACCAACTCTTTATWCAGCCGCCACGGRGATGGTGGTTGCCTCTTCGCTGGGATCGAGATGGACGGTCAGATCTAGTGAGGGCAGGCCATATGGAAAATCCTGCACTGTGGCAACAGCTGGAAGAGAAASCGGCGGCCGTACGAGACGCTATTGGGAAGTCCTTAGCAGGAACGGGAGGGTTTGTTAGGTTGAAATACATGTCGGTGTTTTCGGAAAATGCAACAAAGCAGAAGCCGCAGATCCACGTATATGGATCGACTATGAATGCTCTGTATGGCTTCAGTCCACGACCTCGTCTGCMACAAACYCSGTRTGTCACAAGAACCGGACGGGTTATCAGACCTCCTGCTTAAAGGATACARTTAGAGACGATGTATATATAGCGGGTCCGGCGTGTTTTTCTGTTTTTATCGGGAATTTTGATCGTCTACGCGCTAAACTTGCAGGATGGAAGCCGGTCAACCAAGCTCGCATGGAAGCGAATCCCCTCATCACGCTCCGTCGACAATTGAGGATCTGATTATTTTAGGGACTAACATTTGGTCGGTCGATATCATAGAAGAATTTGAGAATTATGGTTACATGAATATCGAAGAAGAAGTTGGGCCTGATGGAGAGCTTCTTCCGATCATGGGTCCCGTCAACGGAGAGGAGACAGTCGTCGTCGACAATGGATCGAATGTTTGGTACCTGTACACTGAGTTGGATGAGGCGTGCGTCATTATGTCGACAAATGACATTGTGGATCCTCCGGAGATGCTAGCAAACTGGAGGGAGGTATGCAGGAAACAGGACTGGGATGCCAAAGACAAATTTGAACACACAGTATGCGTGTGGCGTTGCATCGGGAGAAGAGCATTGCTCGCACCGGTGATGATGAGTTAGTGTACAGGGTAGACAGTTTGGTGCATGCGCAACTGCACCACCTTTTTGATAAATGTGAGGAGATTGTAATCACAGTCGAGCACAGAAGATGTGACACAGATGAATTGGCTTTGTCGAAGCAATATCATCGATCGGGACAGAAAGAAGTGCCGTTAGTGGGCGGCAGAAGAAAGATCGTCGTAGATTGTCCATACTGTGAACGATTGAAGCACGGAAGGTACTTTTTACCTCTTA